GTCTGGCAACTCCTGCCTCCCCCACTTGTACAGGCCACCCACTGCCAGCTCTTTGAGGCATAGAACCATAGAGTTGGAAGGGATCTCCAGGGTCATCTAGTCCAACCCCCTGCACAATGCGGGAAATTAAAAAATACCTCCCCCTCCACACCCGCAGTGACTGCTATTCCACGCCCAGATGACAAAAAACCTCCAGGATCCCTGGCCAAACCGGCTTGGAGAAATATTGCTTCCTGACCCCAAAGTGGCGATTAGCATTTCCCTGGGCATATAAGAAAGGGCCACAAGAACTAAGCACTGAGGCGACCCTTCCTGCCCTCCCTCTCATGATCTGCCTGAGTTCACAGAATCAGCATTTATTTTATTTATTTTATTTTAATCAACTTATATCCCGCCCTCCCTGCATGGCAGGCTCAGGGCGGGTTACATCTGGCTGTCAGATGGCCATCTAGCCTCTGTTTGCAAACCTCCCAAGAAGGAGAGCCCACCACTTCCCGAGGAAGCCTCCTCCACTGAGGAACAACTCTAACTGTCAGGAAGCTCTTCCTAATGTTTAGCCGAAAACACTTCTGATTTAATTTCAACCCGTTGGTTCTGGTCCGACCTTCGGGGGCAACAGAAAACAGCTCTACACCATCCTCTACATGACAGCCCTTCAAGTACTTGAAGATGGTTATCCTATCCCCTCTCAGTTGTCTCCTCTCCAGGTTAAACATACCCGGATCCTTCAACCTTTCCTTGCCCCCCTCTGGACACGTTCCAGCTTGTCTGTGTCTTTAAATTGTGGGGCCCAAAACGGAACACAGTATTCTGTGTGAGATCTAACCAGAGCAGAGTAAAGTGGTACCATCACTTCGCGTGACCTGGATGCTATACTTCTGTTGATACAACCCAAGTGGCGATGTTTTGACTGATGCATCCATAAGGCTGCATTGTCATGAAGGTTAAGAATGATCTCTGAGCATGCAAAAGGTCCCAGACAGTGTTCCCTCTAAGCTGCACTAGGGGGTGCTGACACAAATTTTAGCTGGTTGCTCAGGGATTTTAGCTTCCAGCTTACAAGCATGTTTTTTTTTCTTCCATTGGAAACAGTGGAGGATGGGGACACCTCCTTCTGGGGCCCATAGAATTGGACCCCCTGGCCATAGACGTGCGGTCTCTGTTGTGCCCCATACCTTGAGGAATGACCTGCCTGAGGAGGAGGCCAGGAAGCTCTCGCTTGGCTGTCATTCTGCACGTTGTGGGTTGGATCCAGTGGCAAGACAGCCATGCCGGCCTTGCCTTCCTCTTTGCTGAGCCCCCCTTGCCCAGGCGGACTGCTTGGCTCTGCCTTTTGGCTGCACGATGTCACAGCCTGGCCTCGGAAAGGTGTGTAGGGAGTACCTAGCAGCCCGCAGGCAGGCACCCTGTCTTACTGTTCCCAGCCAAGCTGTGCTTCCTGGGCGCTGCCTCTTCACTTGGTGGTGTCTTCATCAAGTCCTCAAGGTGCTGTTTTATCATCTAGGTTTCAGAAGGAGAAGCAGAAAGCCAAGGCAGGTCGCGGGAATGCTCTTCATGTTGAAATCACTAAAGCCTCTTTAATTCTTGTTCATTCTGTTCCTTTGGAAATTTGGGTTCAATAGATCCGTCACCGTGTCCCTCTCCAAAACCAAGGGATTGCGTTGTGTCTGTTGCAGTGATGCTTGGCTGTGGCTGCTTCAAAGCATGGCAGAATCATTTGAAGAATGAATGAAAATAAGATAGTTCTCACCTGATGCCTGAAAGCACCGAAGAGGCAAGAACGTATATACTGCAGACAAAATACGTGTCTGTTCAATATGGGCTCTTTTTGAGGTTCTGAATGGACGGTCATCTCTGCCCATTCCATTTCCACCCCGCCTTTCCTTCCTTCACTCCAGAGCTGTGGAGTGTCCTCTTTGGAAGTCTCATTTGGTGGCTATTTGTCTTTCAAAGGCATATTATTTTTTTCAGTGCATTCAGGAATGCAAAGGGACAAAGCTGGTGCAACAATAGTATGCATATTCATCTCTCTCTTCTCCTAAGGCTTTTCCAAGGTTAGGATTAGACCCCCTGCATTGCTCTTTGCTCTTTCTTAAAGGCTCCTGTAACACTGTTTTTAGACTATATATGGTTTATTCTGCTGTTTGTGCTCAGTTGCTGCTGTTTGATGATTTTGCTGTGGGTTGTTTTTTGATATTTTAGTGTGTTATTGTTTTATTTTCCATATTGTAAGCTGCCTTGGGTGTAGTGCTATAGAGGTGGCAGTATTTTACATGAAATTTTGTGGTGCCACTTTGTGATGGACGTTTGGCAGACTTCCATTGGGAAGCGGCTGCTAAGATTTTTGACAATAAAACAGATAACTGATTCATTGCACTTTTGATGTGCCCACATTCTTTTAAATTACTCAATAATATAATACAAATAGATTTCAGTTCCTGTAATATACTCTAAATGGCTAATGACATTTATTGGATATTTTAATATGTGTCGTATCTGATCATTTATTTAAGGCATTTCCCCTGAGAGGACTGAAATGGGATTTTTGGGTTTTAGTGGCAGGATGGGGAACAGACAGCGTCACATGCCAGTGTCTGAGTGGCTTCCCCATAGCGAGGATTCTCCACGTTGTTTTCAGTGCTGCTGTGAATACAGAGCCACGTGTGTTCGTGATGGAGGAGAGTTTTCTGCGCCCTTCCCTCTCTGTCATTTCTGATTTTTCACTACCGCAGGGTCTCTGCAGGGACTCCACAACGGTTCTCGGGAGCTGTCATGGCCCAGCGACCTTTTTTCCTTCACGCGTACCCCGTAGAGCTATAACAGTTTTATTAAAAATGGAAATAGATAAGAGCAATCGGTTTTTATGCTGCCCTGTTACCCACATGTCTGTTGAAAGTTTAGGTGGAAAGTTTGTGTTATGGTTAAAAGGACAAAGAGCTGATACCACATTAGCAGCCTCAGTCGGTTGTGCAGACGGAGTCCTGTAAGGATCACTGATAAGAGAGGAGGTCGTGAGCACTTGGTTGTGTTCTGTGAAGTGGGGGCTGGACGAAGTTTTGGAATCCGTACGGGCCTGATAAACATTAGGAAGAACTTCCCGACAGAGCAGTTCCTCAGTGGAGCAGGCTTCCTCGGGAGGGGGTGGGCTCTCCTCCTTGGGAGGTTTTCAAGTAGAGGCCAGGTAGCCACCTGGCAGCCATGTGGATTTCCTGCATTTTGTGCAGGGGGTTGGACTAGATGACCCTGGAGGTCCCTTCCAACTCTGTGATTCTAAGTGCAGGGCTGAAATTGGGAGGCATTCTGGTATTGTTGAAGCGATTTGAGTCACTGGGGTTGAGAGTTCCAAGTTCTTTCCCCAGGCTTGCTGAGAACTCGCGGCCGGCTTTTTCGCAGAGTAGCATATTGGTCTGCAGTAGAACAGCCAGTCTGATGTCCAGTCGCACTTCCGAGACGGGCAAGATTTGGGGGGGGGCTGAGCTTTAAAGGGGCAGCGCTCCCTTTGCCATGTGTTTTTGACTCTCAGAAGCCTCCTCCTGCCCAATCTGGTTGGTTTCTGGGGTGCTCCTGGGCCAGCACGGCCGCCCTCTGAAATCTGCTTATATTCAGTTCAGGCGGCTGTTTGCTTCGTGTCCCCTGGGTTCTGCCTGCTTGGCTTTCCAGGAAAGGCAAATGCCCAGAGGTCACCGGCTGGCTGTCTCTAGTCTCTTCCAGCCGAGGCGCTACAAAGGCTTCTTTTATGCTTCTCCGCAGCAGCATCACCAGCAGCTTCGTAGGGCCAGCCCAAACCCTCTCCCAGCAGCGAGATGATGCTGTTTACATCTTGCAGAGAGCCCCACGTGGTCAAGGGAGAGGCAGACTGTTGAGTTTATCATTAACAGGATCTCCTTTCGAGGAACCAACAGGAATTTTGCCTGGTCCAGTTTCCCACACATCTGGCCCTGCCCTCTCCCCGCATGCTCCCCCCCCCCGCAAGATTGCTTCCTGCTTGACGTAATGCGGGGAAAGAAGCCAGTTGTTTGTTTCCTACCTTATCCGTCTCGTATCTAAGCAGCACAGAGAAGACTCGTGTGGAATAAAAGCCTTTAAAAGAAGGCCTGCCGCAGGTCCCGTTTCTGATCTTTGCCTGGGTCTTCTGTCGGCTGCTTGAGCGACTCTGCGGCAGCCAGCAAGTGCCCAGCAGGAGACCCGCTGCAGTGGAGCCATGGAGCCTGGCCAGCAGGTGGCACTCCTCTTCTGTGTACCCGTCTCGGCTGCAGCGTGCAGCCAGGCTCTTAGCAGAATGCATGAGTTGTCCTTGACTGTGCACGGGACAATCCCCCAGCACCTCTGACGGGGCAGGGTGGAAGGCTGCCAAAGAGGTGGTGCTGCTGCTGTTTTCCACACAGAAACAGGCCTGTGTGATTTTCTCCTTGGCTGTTGTGGCTGCTGATACAATCTGCAATGGCTACGGAGCCTTCGCAGGGCAGGTTTCCCCTCGGCTTCCCAGCCCCTGGGGCTTTTGCAGGTGTTCTTTTGTTTAAAAAAAATTGCTGTTACACAGGTTGTTATCATGTTATTAACCAAGTTCCCTGCATTCCTATCTTTCATTTTTAAAAAAGTAAGGACAAAGGGATATCTCTGCAGCAGAAAGGCCTAGAGGTGTGAATGGCTAAAGAAAACAAAGCAAGGCTTTTTTTTTTTTTTGTGGCCCTGTGGACAGAAGTGGTTTCCTCATTATTTTTCCTCCAGCTGTCAATTACAGGCAAGTGTTGCAGGGGAGGGCAGCCTCCAGGTGTGCTCTTCCGCCTTATTTCATGTGAGTGTCCTGGGGCCCAAGGTCTGACCTGGCACCTTTCTTTTGGCTTGTGAACCGCACTTCTTCAGCAACAAGCAGCTAACGCTGCCTATTTGTCCAACATACACCATATATGTGTTTTGCTGCTAACTGCTTTTCAAGCTCCATTTATGTGGGAACAGTTCACTTTAACTTCATAACAGTTCACTTTTGTTCTCATTTGCAGGATGAACAGTTCCTAGGTTTTGGCTCAGATGATGAGGCCAAAGGACAGAGTCCCACCAAATCTTCCACAGGTATGCTTAGACTGTAGAATGGGCTGTTCACAGGGGCTCCCTCCCTCCCCCCCTCCCTCCCTTCCTTCCTTCCTTCCTTCCTAGTCACAACCAACTTATGCTGACCCTGTAGGGTTTTCGAGGCAAGAGGTGTCCAGAGGAGGTTTGCCATTGCATGCCAGGGCACAAATCCTGAAATAAATGGGATTTCAGGCTGACTCTGCAGCTGCTGATGCCAGTCAGGGAGGGTCCCTGCCTATGGGGTGGGGACTGTTAATTTCTTACTGTGTCTGCAGACACATTCTCCCAACTTGGGGCAGGGGTGTTTCAGTCTGACTACTCAGGTGGTTTCAGATGGAGAGGAGGCTCCACAGGACCTTCCTTGAGCCTTTGGTCGGGGTCGTCGTGGGAACTATTCAGATGCAGTGTTTCCATATGGTTCTGGAATGATGTAAGAGGAAGTTATGAACTATCTCCAAAGCTGCTGTTCCCATTTTATTGTAACTTTAAAAGTCTTGGGGAAAACTAGTCCATTACAATCAGCTAGAAAAAAGATTTTTTCCAATGGCAGAGCCTGTTGATCACAGTGCTCAGTGTAACCTACCTTCTCTCCAAATAATCAATTGGCGGTGGGGTCACTCTCATACCTGTACATAGTGTGACTTATCAATGCAGTACACTTGTGTGGGCCTTGAAGGTGGCCGTGGCAGGCTGCAGAGATGCTTAACATGCTCTCTTCCTTTCCTCCTTCTCCTTCTTCCATCTCAGTCAAGTCTAGTGCACGGAAACCACGTGGGAGACCCAGAAACATCTTGGACCAAAGTTCACCTGTGCTTTCCAAGTCCTCCTTAACGTATTCCCCTCCAAGCAAACCAGAACTCACATCAGCGGAAAAAGTGAAGAAGAAAGAACTGAAAAGTGGAGAAAAGAGACGAGGGAGGCCTCCTGCACTCGCCAGCATGAAGTTCAAAATCAGCCACATGAAGGGCACACCAGATGCTCAGAAGGGGGGCAAGGAGGAAAAGGAGGCTCTCAAGAAGGTAAAGCGGGCCCCATCCACAGCTTTTCAGCATGCCACAAAAATCAAGAAGCTAAGAGCAGGCAAACTCTCCCCACTGAAGTCCAAATTCAAATCCGGCAAACTTCAGATTGGAAGGAA